ACTTATTCCTACTCTTATGAAAACTATATTAATAATTTATATCGTATTATAAATTCCTTTTTTAATTGAATCATTAAATTTAAATGTAGTAAAAACTGAACATTATGATATATTTTATATATTTAATTTCTATATATTCTCTTTTCATTATTCTAAAATTAATATTAATTGATACTAAATTAAATTCTTAATCAATATTGATATGTTATCTTATTTTATGGATAAAATAGAATACTTGATAATTTATTAATAAGTTTTTATATAAAATAAATAAAAAAGAGAATTTAATTTTTAAGGTTTAATAAAAATAGGCACTCTTATTGTATATATAAAATATTAAATAAAAGTTATAATTATAATAATATATATAATTTATAAGATTAATATGTTTAAAGAGATAATAAAATAATACACAAACTTATAAAGTAAGATAATTAAATTCATTTTAATAAATTGTTCATCATTTTCTTTTAAATCCACATCTTCCGCAGAAATTATGATCTTGTTCCATTTCATAGCTACATTGTTTACAATGGTAAGTACTAATTTTCTTTTGTTTAAGTTATTTTTCAATGAGCATTTTTTTATACATTAATTCTTTTTAATTTTTTTAACAAAGTTCTATATGACTTTCAAGATTTCGAGGATTAAATTTCCTACCACATATATGACATTCTGCTGTTGTTATATAACTTCTATCTAATGAACTGTTTTCTCTATTAGTTTTTTTTGGTCCCAAAGATTTTGGTTTAACCATAGATTTTGATCTTTTCTTTTTTACTTCTTCTTTTCCTTTTGCAATAAAGATCATTGGTTTTTCTTTACTACATAATTTTAAATGCATTTTCAATTTTCCTTCAAAAAACTTTCTATTACAAAATTCACATTATTCGTATTAAATATTTTATACTTCCATTTTCTTGATAATATATATATTATATTTAAATTTTAATGAAATAACGTGATCATGATCGAAATGCTTTATTTCCAATAAGCGAAGACTCATAATATACATATCATAGATATAGTCCACCCATGAGACCAAAAATAATGCCAAATTAATACATTAACAAAGATATGAAATTAATTCAATTAAGTGCACATGAAAAATCAATATAAGATAAGAGATCAAATATATTTTATGAACCAACTAAACTTCCTAGATCACCTCCTAAATGTATAGAAGATAAACCAAAATCTCCAAATTTAGATCATAGATAAAGAATGTTATATTAGAATACATCAAATGTTTTACCTGGATATAGTTATTAAAAAGTTAAATAAGTATGTGAGAGTAGAACTAAAATTGTTGATGATCCTAATAATTAAGTGAAACATCAAAATCAAAATTTTTCTGATTTATTTGATAGATAATGTGGTGATACTAAATTACATTAAAGAGTTAGATCAGCTTCTCCTTAATTAGATTGGACTGCACATGATAGTGTTAGAAATGCAAAAGATTGTACAACTAATGAATATACAACAAATAATAAACCAAAATCACCTCTTAAAGTTACTGAAATGTCCAATTAAGAAATTAAAGTAAAAATATTTTATACAATAATAAGTGTATTTAATAAGCTAAAGAATTGAAGACTTATTCAAAATTGCATGGTAAAAAAGCTCCTTCAAAAGAGATTGTATATGAAGGTATGTTGAAATGGAAGAATAATTATAAATGAATTGTTTCTAATTAATTTATTTTATATATATAAATATATATTATATATGATAACTACAAATACAAATAGAGATTTGATGTCTTCAACAACAGATTCAGCTGAATAATCATAAAACATATAATTATCAAGAAGAAAAATTCCAAATAAATAATTCTCATTAAGTCCTTTTGCCTTAAAAAAATAAGAACTTATGAATAAGAGAAGTTCATCCTATTATTCCCATAATATCAGTATTTCTAAAATTAAACCAGTGATTGATTATAGATCAAAATTTAAACTAAATACAAAAAAATTGATCATAATTTTGAGTTTTTTTTAATCACTCTCTTAATATTCAAAGGAATAACTAAGATAACGTATTGAATATTTTAAATCAAAAAAATAACATATCTTACCATTTTATCCTGATCAATACTTTATAATCAAATGGAATTCATTCATTTAATTAATATTATTCTTATATGCAATTATATTCCCTTTATAATTGTCTAATCAAATTAATATAGATTAAATATTATTGGGAATAGATATAATCTTTGCAATAGATATAATAATGAATTTCATAACAGCATATATAGATGAAAATTATAATTTAATTAAAGAATTTAAATTAATATTACTTAATTATCTTAAAACTTGGATGATCTTTGATCTCATATCATTACTTTAATATTAATTATTCATTTAATAATCAGAACTTTAATTATTTAAACTTTTAAGATTAATTAAATATTTTATTAAAAAACCCTAAAAAAACTATAAAGGATAAATCTTTTACACAACTAATATTATAGATTCGTTCTCTTAAGATACTAATTATTATTTCTCAGAAGGATGGATATTTCTATCTAATATCATTCTGAATGCCTTACTCCTTATACATATTTTTGGATGTATTTTTCTATTTAATGACTCAGATTTTGATTATATTACTGGAGTATATTGGTCCTCATAAACATTATTTACAGTAGGTTATGGTGATATACAATAGAATTATTCAATATCAGTTATTTGGATTATAATTTCAATTGGATATTATTCAGTTAAAGTTGGTGATTTTGCTAAATTATTAATGCAATCTAATCTATCTATTGATGATAATTAATATTACTTATTTGATCGTTTAGCATTCTAAACTAAAATGCCAGATGATCTTAAAGATTAAGTCTAAAAATATATAAGAACAAATGCTTAACACAATTAATTTTGGGAATAGGATATACTTTTTATGGTTAATGAATTACACAAAAATATTCAAACATATTTCACATTAAGTGTAAGATTAGATTTATGTATTAAAATTCAATTCTTTCTATAAGATGTTAATCATACACAAAGTCTTTTGAAATCATGTAGATTTATTACTTATGAAAAAGACGAAGTAATTTATAGAAAAGGATAAATCTCTGATGAAATCTATTATTTAATCAAAGGTGATGTAAGAATTCTTTCAAAAAAAAGATTTAATTTATTAACAATATTGTAAGGTACCATATTTGGAGAATTTGAAGCTTTAAATGAATAGCCTCGATTTACTTATGCTGTAGCTCAATAGAGATCTTATATTTTAATAGTTTAATTTAAATCCTTTATTTAATGTTTTAAATAGAGTAAACTTATTAATTTTGAAGTGTCATAATTGTATGCAAGAAGAAAGTAATTGATACTTTAATAGTTTAAACTTGAAAAAAGTATAAAAATAATTAATTTAGATAAAAAGTTGAGTTACAAAGATTGAAACGAAAAAATTTAATCATTTTTTAAGACAACGATATTTCACCTAAATTCAATAAGAGAAAGATAGATGAGAATCAATTATAAACAAATTAATCTTTTCATTATAACTTTTTATAAAAAATTATAGGACAAGCTTAACTTAATAAATAAATAGTATTTTAGAGATTCTAATTTTGTGTAAATAGAGTGATTGATTATATACGATAAATAGATATAACACCACCTGAAGATTGGAAGGATTTAAATGAATATTACACAATCACAAAAGTAATTCCATTGAAACTTTTATAATAAAGAAATTCACTTTTTAAATAATAATAAAATAGATAATCTAATTTTTCAATATTATCATTTAACAAGAAATTAAGATTATCTAATTATATATTAGTAAGATAATAGGAAATAAATATTTAGAGAAAAATAATCCTTTATAGCAAATTGTAGAGGGATAGATTCATATCATTAAAATAAATCTTTAATAAATATTAGCAAATATTTGATAATTAAACAAATGTAATTAATTTTAGTAGTACTTCAAAGATTGTTTTATTGTAATCCAAATATTATTAATTAAGAAATCTAAAATAAAATGAAGAGATAAAAGTTAATAACAATATTGTACATAACATAAATTAACTTAATTAAGATTTTAAAAATATTAATTAAATTTGGTTATAAGGATCATTACTTAAATTTGATTTGCATAAATTTTTGAATTAAATTTGAAAGTACTTACATTATAGATAACAATTACTATTATAATATTTAAAAGGTTTGATTTATAAATAATCTAATTATAATATATATATATGTATTATTATTTATTAATTGATTAAATAAATATGACATATTATTTATTTATTAATTAATCATAATGAGATATCCATATAATTTGTATTACTTTCTGATTTCACATAGAATTCATCTATATATATATTACAATATAATTTATTTATCTGTAATAATATTTTTAATAAACAAATAATGTAAAAATACGTTGCTAAAAATGTTGCTTTGAATTTTAAAAACTTAGTAATTGGAGGAGATTTAAAAACTATTAATCCACCTAAAAAGAATGAAGAATAATTTTTCAAATACTATGATTAAATGTTCATGAAGAGTACATATATTTAAGATTGTCTCAAAAACGAATTATTGAGAATACCTGTTGATTTTTTCCAAGAAAGTAGATATGACGATTTTGCAGAAGATCATTCTGATTTCTTAGAATAAGAACATCAGAAATAAAAATGATATCCCTTATATATATATGTTAATTTTTTCTTATGTATAATGTTACATCATAAGCTAGTTTTTTTTCATTTCTTCTAATTCTAAAGAGAGCCTCTGATTAATACTTAATTCCAACTTAACTCCTCCAATTGTTCTCAAAAATTCATGGTTCTCATTATAATGTTATCTTAAATCATGAACCTTTTTAAAATAATTCAAAATAAATTCTTACTTGATCCTCTTCTATTCTAATTTCAATTAAAACTATGCAAATTGCTGTTATTTCATAAATAAATTCTTCTAAACTTTGTTTATCTAAATGAACATATTTTAAGAATATTGCATTTAATGAATGTTAACGGAACTTCCTATTATCTACATAAATGAGGCAAAAGAACAACTAATTCAATTAAGCCAACATCATATGCTCTAAGTATTAATTTGCCTCCTTTTTGTTTCAATTAAAAGTACTCACATTATTCAATTCAAATTTAAGAATTTATTAGTTTTAGAGTACGTTTTTATTTAGCTATATTGATTTTTGCTGATTAAATGAATCTTTATTGCTTCTCACTCTTAGTTTCTTGAGTATATTTTTCTCAATAATGAATAAACTTTAGAATCTAAATATAATGATAATTCATATACATTATTGTGATTCTTATTAAGTATTCTACTAAATTAATGAATAGCTGTACATTATTTAATTCTTTATCATTATATCTTCTTTTAACTAATATAAATGAGATCATCTCATAAAAACACTTTAGATTGACCATCTTTTTCAATTCTAAATTTATTAGCTTCTTTTAAAAAAAAGTGAATTCTATCTTCTATCTTCATTACTCATTTACAACTTTTTAGATTTATTTGAATTAGATGCTATAAGCTGTTAAACTATTTATATAACATTAATGCCATTTGTAATAAAAATCTTTTATTAAGTATTTTTTCAAAATAAAACAAAAATAGAATATTAGAGTCAAATTATAAATATTAGTTCAATGATATTCAAGTTTAGATCATTTTTCTATTATTATACAAAAGACAATCAAAAATGAATTCACTTTTTTATTTCAAGTTTAAATAGAAATTTATTTTTTTAACTCTTCTCTGAAATTTTTATGTTTATTCCAATCCTAATATCCAATAATTTAAACTAATTCATATTATAAAGTATTATTTATATTATAAATAGAAATAATAATGTCATCTAAAATGCAGTCATCTTAAATTGACAGACAATATTTAAGTATTCAGGATTATTAATTAGTTAATTTGTTTTTATATATATCAAGGAATGTACTCTTTGTAAAGCTACTACAATAATTCAATAGGATCAGAAAATTAGGAATATTTATCCAACCTTAAATTCTAACTATTATAGGATCTGACATCTCTTACTCCCTTTAAAGCCATCAAATAATTCTATAAATAAAGTAATTCCTTTAAAATATAAATTATAATTATACTTGATCCATTTTGTTATCATAATAGTTTATTATTGGAATTCCATTTAAAGGTTATAGACAAAATGAATAAGCTGCATTGTCAACTAAAACCATATTATTTAATGATCTATTTCCAATAACTCTCAAATCTTTTATATAAGCACCCTCTTCTGTTTGCATACAACTATCTCTAAAAAATCTATGTGATATTATATTTTTATAAGGATCCAAATAATCAATTACAACATTAGCATAACAAGAATGAGAGGCAGTAAATACTATTATTTCAAAGTACTTATTTAAAGTTTATAACACTTATTATGCATATGGTCTAATATTGATAGATGCCTAAAATTATAATATTTTTGATATACTTCTATTATTTCTCCAGTTGGAAATTTTATTGGCAAAATGATATCACCTGGTATTTGAATAGACTCATTACAATGAATCAAAGTTTCATCTAAATCAAATACTATAGTTTTTTTAACAGTTGAAGGTAAATCTATTTTTTTGTCTTCATAATTATTTATTATTTTGACTGATTTTTAAAATATTGTAGCTTACATTGTTTATAATAGATGATCTCTAATTAGTTGAATTGGTTTTGTAATTTCAATTTGCATATAGCCTTTTATAATTGAAGAGATGTAATATAAAAATGCTATATCATGATTTTTCTCTTATGAAGTTTTTCTTTTAAAATTGTCTTTTATTGTATTGCTAGATTTAGTTGATTATGGTCTTAAATTCTTAAAATTATTTTTATTTTCATTTAATGGAGCCTTTACTTGAGTAACAAATGTTGATAGACTTGGTTTTTTAATGATAATGCCTTCAATTTTATTTTCATTATTATTTAAAAGAGTGCTTGATTTTAACTTATTTTATTGTAATGGTGTATAATCTCTTTTATCTTTAGATTATTAATAATCTTTTTCTCTTTTTGTAGTAAAATCTATTGACACTGTTTTTTGAACTGAAGTTGAGGTTTAATTACTTTTTGTATTTTATGCAAAAAATTTAGAAGCTATATTATTTTTAGTTTGTCTTTAACTATTATCTATATTCGATTTGATGGATGTGATTTTATTCTCTAAATAAAGTAGTTTGTCTTATAGTTTTTAATATTCTTAAGGAGTTTATTTAATTTTGGCAGATTGATTTCTTTCCTAATTTGATTTTATTTCAATATTTTCCTTTTAATCCTTTGAACTAAAATATTTGGAATAAAAATTTTGATTCTGTTTTTATAATTGTATTGAACTTTTCATAGTTTATAAAGTCTATTTTTATTATGAATTAGACTAATTAGATGAATTTGGTCTTTACAATTCTTTACTTTATCTATTGTCCAAATTCTTTTCTGAGAGAGGACGTCTAATTTCAATCATGCTCAAAACTGTTAAAAAATTAAAATATTAATAGTAATAAACCACTTTTTCAAAATTCATATTGTTTCATCTAAGGCTTTTTGTTAGTAGAAAATTTCTTAAACGGAGATTGGAACTACATTAAATGCTTAGTTCCCATAATTAATTTAGTTTTCAATTCTTTGTATTTACTAGCTCTAGCCATAGCTGCTTATTCTTCTGTCAATGACATTTTGTCAAGTTCTTCCATAACCTATATTAAGATAAATAGTATACTTCTCTATGTTAATATTCTAATTGATCATTCATTCGATTTACTTGTTCTAATTCATGATTCAACTCTTCTGTAGTTTCTAAGCATTCCATATTTAATGATTTTAAATTTTCTATCTCATTTCTCTAGTCTATAATAGTCTTTTCTTAATGTTTAACAGTTTGATCTAATTAAATCACTTGGGCATTCAATTCCATACATGTATCTGCTTCAGATTAATAATTTTTTTAGTATAATAGGCTCTCTTACTTAAATTTCTCTTTTTGTTTATGAATTTCTTCTAAATCATTTTATAATTATGATATATAATTTTATGCTTCTTGATATTACATTTTAGTATATTTCAAATTTTCATTTTTTGTTTTTAATTCATTATTAATCTACAAGAAATAATAATATTAAATAATTACATTTTCAATATCTGCTTTATAAATTTGATTTTACTTTTCAAGATTATCATATTCATTTTATAATTAAGTCAATAATTTTTCTTTATCATTTAATTTATCTAAAACATCTTCATAAGTATTATTAAGAATCTCTCTATCATTCAATAATCTTATTTTATATTTAATATTTCTTACCTTTTTCTTTCATCCTTAGCTGCTTATAATTCAGTTTCCAATCTAAGTTTATCTTCATATAGTTTTCTATTTGTTTCTTATATTTAAGCTAAATCATTTTTTACTCTTTAATTCTCTTATGATCTATGATCTGTGATTTCTTTGAATGCCATATTTTCAGCTTTCATTTCTTAATTTTCTATATGTTTTTCTGTTAATTAAGATTTCAAATTATCTATTTCATTTCTTAGATTAGCTATAGTTTTTAAAGTTTAATCACTTTTATTTCTATATTCAATTTCATTTCTCATTTTTTCATCATGTGATGTATTATATCTAATTTTAACAGTTAATTCACCTATTTTCTAATGATTTCAAATGAGAAACCAATTCTTAATAATCTCTTGCATTCTATCTTAATTCAAAGTTCTCAGCTTTCAATTAAGATATCATTAAATCCTTTTAGTCATTTTCAAATTTAGCTGGAGAATAAAATGGTAAATTTTAAAAGTTTTTTTGAGAATATGACATATATTTTATTAATAGAAATAAAAATAATATAGTGTATGAATGATATATTAATAATCTTTATCATTTTTATAATATTTCCTTTTTAAGTTATCCAATTTTATTGATTACTAAATCTAATACAAGTCCTAATTCTTCTCTTTCTTTATCTCTTTTATTTTTGCTACTTTAATAATCTAAATCTTCATTTCTACATTCAGTATCACGATCATCATTTTAAGATGTTTTAGTTTCAATTTTCACATCTACTTCTGCTTTTTCATTTTTGGCACTTGTGATTTAAGAATTTAGAGATTCAATTGATCCTAAATGATTATTTCTATAAATTAAATACCTTATAGGAATGTTAGATTTTCTTATTTTAATATAATTTAATCTTCCAACATTTATGCTAAAGATCCAAAAGCATCTTTACGTTATTGTTCAGATAAATCTTCATAAATTCTTTATTTTTAAATCCAATTGTCTACTTATGAAATAATTTCCAAAACTTTTCTACTCATAGATTCTTATTCTGCTGTTGGATCTTTAGATAAGAGATTCACAATATGAGAAATTCCATGTAATAAAAAGTTGATTCCTTCTGCTTTTACATTATGTTTAATTTTATTAATCTATTAAGCTATTTCAACTAATGTTAATTCATCTTCATCATTAGTTTAGTAATTTTTATTTAAAAATTTGTCTTAATTTTCTAATTGAATAAGACTAGCAAATCTTTATTAGTTTTTAATAAGAACATTAAGAAATGTATTAAACATTTTCTTAGCTTCATTTAAAGCATATAAACCTTATTCTAAATTATCTAAAGTTTTTTCATATCTAACTTATT